TCTTAATATATAAAACTTTCCTAATATACGTACAGACATGATGTATAACCCTCTCTCTTAATATATAAAACTTTCCTAATATACGTACAGACATGATGTATCACCCTCTCTCTTTATTGATTTATGAAATATTTCTTTCTTTCTATAAAATTTCCGGTTTCCGAATGATTGTTTGCTGTAGAACAAGAATCAGTTTTAAATTAGGAGCACGTGTTTCTGTAAAACAAACGTTCTTCTGGTACAGATTTATCCATAACTGTATGGTTTACAGATGTGTTTCAGATACCTGTATGGTACAAGCCTTCCTGTTTTCCATAAGCACGTACTTCCACAGACATTATACTTACTTTGTAAACTAATTTTCTTTTTGATATTTCTAACCTACATAATTTATTCTTACATAGCAAGTGTTCCAGTCACGAGGCGTTAATTTGAAGTAAGTGTGTGTGTGTGATTTGTATATCTTTGTCAGGTTTTTTATGTTATTCTTACTGGTAGTTTGTATTTCTTAACCGTTTTTCTAATTTTGGTTATGGTCGTGCTCTACTAGATAGAATGGATTGTGAGATATGTTGTTTGTTTTTGTTTGTACTTTATTTGTTATTTACATATGTTTTGAAATGGATAATCAGTGAATTGTTCTGGATATCCGTTTCCTGAAAGAAGAGCTCAGAAAATCAGATCACCTAAGTCTAATGAAGCGTAGTGGGAAAGTTTCGAAATATTCCCCTTAGTTCAATAATCATGGTTACAATGATGTACGTTATAACGAAGGAGAATAGGTTTCTGAATAGTTTCTTTCACATGAAACTATGTATTCATTAGTCGATGGATTTTAAGGTAATATTTAAGAAATTTAAACTTCTTGTTCTAAATATTCAATTCGATTTTTCATTAAAACAATAACACCTCCAATAAATTTATTTAACCATACTGATGATTTTTTCAAAGCTTTTCTAGACCAAGACTTTATTACTTTAAAAGATATCACTGACGTATCTACACCAAAACTCTGATTTACTGTACAAGTCTCAAAACAGAGATATGGTATGACAGGCCTTCTTTTTATAATGTGAAATTTGTGTCTAGAATCGTGTTGAACAAAACCTTTTGTGCCACACCTCTGTTTGGAGCCTGCCGTACCATACCCCTGGTGAGAAACCTGTGGTAATACGCCTCTACTGTGAGATCTTTTGTGTCTGTTTACATGTCAAAGGCTTTGGTTAAAAGATATGCATAAATAAAGCTGTAAATACAGATACTCCCATTTTTTTATAGAGTTTGGTTTGTTTGAATTTCGCGCAAAGCTACACGAGGCTATCTGCGCTAGCCGTTCTTAAGTTAGCAGTGAAATACTAGAGGGAAAACAGCTAGTCATCACCACCCACCGCCAACTCTTGAGCTACCCTTTTACCAACGAATAGTGGGATGGACCGTCACATAATAACGATTGAAAGGGCAAGCATGTTTGGTGGGACGGGGATTTGAACTCACGATTTTCAGATTGGGAGTCGAGCGCTCTAACCATCTGGCCATGCCGGGCCTTTTTTTATAGGGATTATCTTAATAGTTTAGTAAAAGCTTCCTCCCGTTGTTGACGCCACTGTAGTTTTCAGTTATAAAACCAGACAAGTTGTATTTAGTATGGAAAGACAACTTTTAGTTCCAATAGCACTAATCTTATGCATACTAATAATGCTATAATACAATTTTTTCTCTTTATATCAGCTACATTCAAGCTAGTATGTTCTGATTTTTACTTTTTGTGCCCACAGTATAGGCTTGCCAACTTACCGAGTTCTTGATCACAGAAATTCCTTCTTATAATCATACTGAAATGTCTCAACTAAATAGCCAGCGATTGTAGTAAATTATGGATGTACTTTCCCACAATGTGAAATATGAAGAGAATAATTTAAATCGTTGTGAGGTTTCCTTCGTAGCGAAAAGAAGAAGAAAGGAATCAATTACTGGTGGTCCTCTGGTGGTAATTCATACGAACTTATTACAGATTCAACGAAGAGCGCAAATAAGGCAAGAACAGCTTAGTTTGATACTAATTATCTAGGAAAATGAATGGTTATTGATTATAAAGACATTAATATCACTTATTACATATTAACCATATTTAAATATCAGAAATAGCTTATAATAACTGAAAGTATGCATTTTCACTTTATATGCTGTTTCTTTTTCTGTTCAATTTTACTAGTTTATAAAATAAACTGTGTACTCATTTTATGAATTGTATATATATTATAGAGACCAAAAATACCTTTATTTTTCAAACACCATCTTTCAGCGTAAAAAACACACACACAAAAACATACACTTAGAGTGCTTTACAATAGGCTCTCGAAGAACCCTAAACCGTACTATTAAACTTATCTTTATCATTGAAAATATTATAATAAGTAAGTGTAGAGTGGTTAAAAGCTCTGTATAGTTCTTGGAGCATTCTGTAGTGCAAAATATGTAATTAATATGGGCAAATTATTTTGCTACATATATAAGAAATCGTTGAAGATACTCGAGTTTCGATACCCGTGGTGGGCAGAGCACAGATAGCCCTTTGCGTAGCTTTGTGCTTAACTGCAAACAAACTACATGAATGAAGGTATTTTCTAGTAGTTTCTGGAAATGGCATTAAGTGGCGACATTCGATGATATTCGATTACTGACTTTATAACCGCCCTGTATATCAGACATTCACATGAAAATAACTTCTTACACCATGAAAAGAACTTCTTACACTCTGTACAAAATAAAAATACTTAAAATACCAAGCACATCTAATCCAATCTTCATAATTCAATATATTTAGTAAGTTCCACATGAAAATGAATTCTTTTAATGTTATCCCATATCAAAATGTTTTGATCGTCAAATTTTCTGTAACTAGTGAGAGATGTCAAACATTTTCGATCAAAAGAATGACATAGCATACTGTAAAGTTTCTGTATTTGATTTTATAGAATGTATCCGTAAGTAAATAGAATAAGGTAAAACCACCGATATATATATATATATAGGTACAAATTAAACCAATTAAAACAAATAATAAAGATGAACTGAGTATACATTTCGAGTTGACGTTTTGATCTCTGTATTGAAGTGCTCAACTTTTGATTAATTCATATACCAAATTATTTTTTTATTTTAATTATAATAGGCTGTCTGTGATGTGTCCACACCAAGGATTAAATCCTGAATTTTAGCTGGACCATTTTTGTTTACCTCGTTCATTATGCTTGAATTTAAGTAAGTGTTAAGCTGTGTTTACGAGTAAGATTTTACTAACAGAAATGACGTTGTAATCTATCACAGTAACGGTGCTACTGTTTTGAGTTATTGAACATATAAATACGGCTTATTAAAGAAAAAACTGACGGATCAATTTTTTTTTATGTAAATTGTTAGTTCAAACGTTCAACGTGTATTTTAATGACAAGAAACTGGATTTATCTCGATATTTTATTGAATTTTGTCCAAAAACACACAAGGACTATCTACTCGTTCTAGTCATCCCTAATTTTATAACGATAGGCTAGAGGAAAGACAGCTAGTCAACACTATTGACCACCAACTTTTGGGTTACTCTTTTGCTAATGAATAGTAAGATTGGCCATAACATTATAATGCCCCCATGGTTGAAAGGGCGAGCATGTTCGGTGATGGGATTCGAAACGGCGCCCAGCAGAGTGGGAGACAAGTGCCCTAACCACCAGGCCATGCCAGACCCTGGTATGTTTAGGAAAGAAATGAGTTACTTAGTGTATTACGGCTTCTGGAAACATATAAATTCTCCAGTAATTCAACCCATTTGTTTCTATTATCCCACGTTCTTCTTGAAAACGCTTTTTTTTTTTTGCTTTAATTAAATAGATTCGATCTTATGTCGTGGTTATTCGGCTGTTACAACGCATTGCCTGAGACAATTTAAATGGAGTTCAGTTTATCGTGTTGTCTAGGATTCCGTGATTGTAAAATAAAAAGGCTTCAACTATTGAAATGAAAAAACGAAGCATATCAAATATATGTCCAAACATTTTCTATGAAGTCAGCGGGTATGAAAGCTATTGCAGTTTTTATACTAACAAATGACGATATATTAAAAGTTTACTTAGACTGTTCGCTGTTCTTATGTTCTTTTAATAAGAAATGCAGCGTTTTTACAGAATATGGCAGGACGTGGTTATCGTGTCGGGCAGCGAATCGAAAGGTCGAGGGTTAGAGACGCGATACCGCTGAACACAATTCTCACTTTCAGTTGGTCATGTTACAGAAGTGATAGTTAATCTCGTTATTTCGAATAAAAAAGCGTATATAAAACACTTGTAGCGGCAGGTTCTGTAAGCTGTCTACCTTTCTTAAAACACTTGTAGCGGCAGGTTCTGTAAGCTGTCTACCTTTCTTAAAACACTTGTAGCGGCAGGTTCTGTAAGCTGTCTACCTTTCTTAAAACACTTGTAGCGGCAGGTTCTGTAAGCTGTCTACCTTTCTTAAAACACTTAGTAGCGGCAGGTTCTTGTAAGCTAGTCTACCTTTCTTAAACAACTTCGTAGCGCAGGTTCTTGTAAGCTAGTCTACCTTCTTAC